GTGATAAATCTGGGTGATCTTCCTGCAACAATTGAGTTTAATACTCAAGCTGAGAGTCTGAAGGTGGAACCTAAGCAGTCGGTAAGTAGGGACAGATGAGGAATAGCAAGTTAAAAAATAAATCTAATGGAATAAGTCAAAGTAATTCTGAACTAATAGTTAAAAATTGATTATTTTCTATTTTTTCTCTAATAATTGTAAATATTTCTTTTTTTTATTGTGGAATGAATTATCACTGAAAACACAGTGAATGAAGACTTAAGTGGTAGCTCTGTCAATATTCGAAGTATTACTAGTTTGTTTTTATGAGAGTGAGTTTCTTTCAAGAAACTTTAATAAACTTAACAGTAACTTGGAACTAGTAAAAATTTCACTCTTGTTTAAAGAGGTTCTATTTCTTAACAGCAAGAACACCACTTCCTTTAGTAGAAGCCCATTCAGCTCTAGTGAGTCACTGCTATTACTGTGAAGGATGACTTACTTGAACAGGGAGCTTTTTCTATGGCTTCATCACACTTTAAGCTTCAGATTTTGCTGCCAAAGAATCTTTACAGGTTCTAATACAGCCCTGATAGCTCTACTGCCAGCAAAATGTTGTGGAGCTGATGGATGTTTTTGATAAGGGATGTTAGTAAATGTGTTCTCTGATAGCCTGTAGTCCTGTTTCCATACAAGGGGGAAGTCCTACTCTATCTTCCTCCAAATTTGCCTCACATGAAAACAGACCTGTGAGAAGAAGATAAAGGCACCTCAACTGTATACTGACCAGGAATTGATGTAACCATGGTTCATACCTGAACATGAAGGGTGTAAACTGCTCTGCTTCCTATTATAGACATACATATATACATTTTGTAATCCAGATGTGAACTATGAAATGCTTTTTAGAATTCTATAGAACAAAATAGTCATTTTTGGTACTACACTAATGTGTCAATTAATGGTTTAAGTAATTTATGTTGATTAAATGTATTTAGAATATTTAAAACTTGTCACTTCTGTTATGCTGAAACAATAAAGATGCAGTTTGCTTTTGCATCTTTTAGGAGGTGTTGCTATTTAGAAAATGCTGCATTTTGTTTTATGCTAGTGCTGTCTCTGTAGCTAAACAGAATTTACTTGGTGTTTGCAGTAAGCCTGAGGGCAAGAAATATGTAATGCTTGTGGGAAGGTCATGCAACTTTGAAGCTTGTGTAACAAATTAAATTAATCCAAACTAATGATCAAATGGATTTAGTACTTGACGTAGAATACCTAACAAAGATGAAAGTTAGGGGGTGCTCATAATCCCTGGCACTTCATAAGTAATGCATGTGTAAACTTCTGAGCTCACCCTGGAGTCCATAACATTCCCTCAAAGGTGTAAACAAATTAGTAGTTGCACAGGAATTCATAGCAATTTGTTTGTCTCCGTAGACAGGCTACATGACGTTTGAGGCTTCTCAGCTGCAATCATTGAGCATAAGTTATGGAGGTGAAAAAAGAACCGAAACTTTCAACAAGACACCAGGAGAACGTTTCACCCTGAGAATTAAAAATAATATAAAAGACGTTATGCTTGTTCAGGTAGGTCTGTTTAATTGTTAAGACAGATAACTGTCAAAACATTAATGCATATGTGGAGTGTGCAAAGCTGAGAGGACAAGTTCTGGATAGCTTTTTCATTTGTCTTGTTTTCTGTCCCTCCCTCTGCTGTACTGGTAAGATGGGTGAGCTGTAGAGAGCAGGCCAGGATGTTAGTTTTTTAGAGAAAAAAAAATAAAAATTATCCTTTCACCAAGACTTGGACATGTGGTCACATAGTGTTTTCTAGTGGACATGTATCCTACTGGGTTCATAAAGGGGAAGGTGTGGAGTCCTGCTCTGAAGCCTCTGTTAATTCCCACTGCTACGTAATAGTGCACATTTGAAATGTTCACTGATGCCAATGAAGCATTTTGATAGTGGTCTCTTTTACCAGTTAATGGACGATGTTGAATCGAAACCACCAGATGGAAATAATCTCATCAGGTAGAGCCTGTTTTTTTCTAAATTTTGACGCGGTAGCATGACTATATCTACAGTCTGTCTTTCAGTGGACTCTTCTTGTTTAACATAGTTTTGTATACTGTAGGAACTTGCCTGTTGCTGGACACTTCACTCAATGTTTAGAAGGTGTAGGAACTTCTGGGGCATTCTTAATTTAGGCTATCTTGCACGTTTGCTTTGGGTGTAGTTTTGCTAGAATTGGAAGTGTGTTTTGCTCCATTGCCTAGACATTTTTATTGGTCCAACAGCAACATGTCTATACCTCCTTTTTAATCTTGGATGAGAAGTATCCTACTACTTTTCTGCTTTTCTTCTACACCTCCCATTTGCATATGCGTTTGCTACTGGTTGTAGTAGTGGCTTGCTTTTGATGTTGTTCTTAGAAGGCAGTGGCCTAATGGGTGTCTAGCTTGCTTTTTGTATTAGTCACACTTTTAAGAGATTTGGAGTTCTTTCACAAGTGTTACCTGATTAGAAAGAATATTAAATGGGAAGACTTCCTACTTCTTGTTCTGCCAGAATATAATGAAGTAAACCCTGTATTCTTATTTTATTCATATTTTGTATGGTATTTCATCACTGTTGCATTTTAAAGGTTCATAAACAATTTCCCTCACCCTGTCAACATTTCTTGGAAAGATAAGCAATTTGGAGAACTGGAATCTTTTTATGACACTAATTACACCACCATTCCAGGAGGAAACATGTAAGCATTTTTCTGTACCCTAATTTAATCTTAGACATACTTGTCATTGGGAAAAGGACATAAACTTTTTTAACATATATAATACACACACTATATGCATTTGTGATATAATTTTTATATATAATATGCACATTGACAATATCTATGGTCTGAACTGTGGTTTTTCTTTTTCAGTCCATATGTAATTAAGGTCTCATCACCTTTAATATCCTCTTGTACAATTGCTTCAAAGGAATTTGGATTTGGTGGTGCCTATACAATTTCAGTTGATGCGGTGAGTTACCAGTGTTGTTGGATGAACAACATAGAATTACTTTCCATGATGATACTTCCTGTAATAAAAAAAAATACTTGTAGAATTATCCGTCTTGCCCTTAATTGTACATATGATAGAATTCTGGTACGTCAAACAGAACATAAACCCATTGTTAACCATAATAATAATGATGTGTATGATAATAATGAACAATTCATGTTCATCACTAATGGTCTTAAATCTTTAGCCCTATTACACACTGGTTTTGCATGAAGTCTACTGTAAAATGGCTACTTTATAACTAGGTATGCAGTGCCTCTTATGCAGTGTTTGTTATTTACCCAGAACTTTGTATATTATTATAAAACTGCTCAGAGTGCCTTTAGTGTGCAGACTCTTTATTACTGTTCCTAATGTGCTATTTTGATTTCCAGTGTACTAAAGATTTCCACCTTAATGTAACATATTTTGAAGATATTGCACCCAGTACAGTCCATATGGCTTGGCAGATCCCCCAGTATTTTCTTCTTACATGTGGAGAAGTAGTCTTCTCTGTCACTGGACTGGAATTTTCATACTCACAGGTAGGTTTTGCTGCTCTTGTGTTAAGAGTCCTGGTACAAACTAAGATCTTTTGTCATCTATTGTTTTTAAGTGGTTCTGTATTGCTGCTTTGACCTATTATATCCTTCAGAGCTCCCTAGCAGGACTGTGTAGGCTGATGCAAGTTGACCCTGTTTCACTAGAATTTAATGTTTTCCATGAAGCTATGCTGAATTATAACATTTGAAGACTTGACTATCAGTCCTCAAATCTCCTTTGCAAGTGACTTTTGACTGAAAAAAGTGGAACTGTACTGCTGCTGTAAAACCAAACTGGAGAGCTCTCAAATATAAAATGAGGAAGCACTGGCACCTTATCTCCACACCAACTTCCTCCATACAATCTTTAGCAGCAGTTTAATTACACACTCTTAATTCCTTTGTCTTCTGACTGCAGTTTAATAGCTGTGTGTATTTCTTCCCGTAATTCTGAGTCCGTAAACTGCAGTGATGTGACTTGCTAGACTGTGATGCACTCAATAACTTGATTTAATGTGTACCATGTGTTACTGAAATGGAAAATATGCCTTACTTTGTACACACTGAGTAACTAAAAGGTGTTATAGTTACTGTACTAGTGATCTCCTGCTCCTCAAGGCCTTCTCCAGACCTGTTTAGTTCTCTAGCAATTTTTAATTTATAAAACCCAAATGAACAAAAAACCCCAACCACCACCAAAACCAACCAAACCAAGCAGTCTTCTTACCCTGCAGAGAACCAGTGTTTGTTACAAGATGAGGAGTGCAGCAAACATCAGAAAATAAACGATAGCAGTGTTAGACAAACTTAGATGTCTGATTTCTACAGGCCCCATCTAACATGAAGTCAGTGCTGCAGGCAGGATGGCTGCTGACTGTGGCTGTTGGTAACATAATTGTCCTTATCGTGGCTGGAGCATCCAAAATCGATAAGCAGGTAAGCACACGAGCAGTAGGTGTTATATTGCACTCTGAGAAAGCAGTTCTAATCCAGGGGGGAGTCATGACAGATAATCCTCAACCACAACTTTGACCATCAGCATGATGGTGGATTTACCTTTATAATTGGAACATGAGGATTAATGTTAGCTACAAGAGTGTACCAGTCAGTTGTAGAACTAGTGCTCATCTGAATAATCTCATTAGCATAAATAAGTAAGAGTTATGAATCTTTATAACCTATTTATATTAAAACTAATTTGAAGACTGTGATAACAGGCTGGTAATTTATCTCCTGGAGCCCCTGCTAAGGTTTCTGTTGGACTTTTTCCCCAGCACTTCCCCAACATGTTTGTTTATATGTACACACATGAAACTAAAAACAACTACAACAAATAGTTCTTCAGCAATGATTTCTACCTGTCTTATCTGTTGTTTGCCATCCTTAACTCTTGCTGTCAGGCTCTCCTGCTTACAAGCAGCAGTTTCTAGCATCTCTAGAAATAGATTTATTTTTTTCTAATGTTATAGAAAGTCTGAACTTTTGAGCTGAAATTCTGGACTAATGGAATTAAAACCTACCAACATTCTGTTAATTGCTAATGAGCCTTCACCTGCATACCACCGCCTTGCCACATCCCTACTGCTGGTTCCATTGGTTTCAAACCTCATTCTTTGGGGCATGGAAGCTGTGATTCTCCTGCTAAAGGGCACTTGTACAAGACTTTCTGTTAGTGGCACTCCCTCATAAATCAAAACAGCTACCTGAGGGAAGAGCCTGTCTCTGAAACAGGTCTGACAGGCCCAGTTTCATCTAAATTAACCAGCAAGAGCACGAAACAGAGCTGTGGATGCTTTTCGGGAATATCTGGTCTTGATCTCTGCCCTGATTTGTTGTCATTAGGAACTTCTTACAGCTGACCTAAGTGGAAGCAGAATCACTGCCAGCCTGGTTTAGAGTGAGATTACCTGACTTAAAGGAGGGACTGAGTTTCCTTTTCGATCATTCATTTCTTCCCTATCCTTCTAGAAGAAGGATATTGTAAAACCTTTTAGCATTCACAGAACTTTTGCCCTTTCAGTGAAGACAGAACTACTGAAAGGGCCTCAATTCTGAATAGCTTTAATATGTATTGCATATATCTAATGCTAGTCCTGTAAGCCATATGATATTTCTTACGTAAGATCAGTTCCGCATTGAGTTCACTCCTTGCAAATGCTAGAATGGTGTAATACTCTTGATGAATTAATAATACTGATTAAATTATGCATTTTTTTTCCCTACAAAAAGCAGAGTATGTTTGCTGCCCTGCTGATGGCAGTTTGCGTCATTTTTGCTGTCATGGCTTATTTTTACACCTATGCTGATCCGAGTGAGATTGAAGCCCAAATAGATGAGGAAGAAAAGAAAAACAAAAAGGATCAAGATGACCATGGAAAGAACACTGAAGATGATTCTAAAATGTAAAAGCCATATTCAAGGAGTGTTTGTAAATTATGGTAGCTGCCCTGCTGATGGCAGTTTGCGTCATTTTTGCTGTCATGGCTTATTTTTACACCTATGCTGATCCGAGTGAGATTGAAGCCCAAATAGATGAGGAAGAAAAGAAAAACAAAAAGGATCAAGATGACCATGGAAAGAACACTGAAGATGATTCTAAAATGTAAAAGCCATATTCAAGGAGTGTTTGTAAATTATGGTATCCGATTCACTCTCCTGGTAGTAAGAAGAATCAGGGTATCAGTTATAATGTCTCTGGATAATAGGTCTTGTGGGAGGCATCAAGAAAAACTGTTTTAACTTAAAATGCAGCCCCTCCTGGAAAGCAAAAGGAAAAGTTTAGTCTCTCTTGTACTGAATGTGTTACAATCCACTTAGTGGGAGGTGCTGCCGCCCAAATTAATGTGCAAATGAGACCATATGCCAAAGTCAAAAATATGTTAATAATATAATAATACGGGTTTTCTTTATCAGTAAATGTGAGAAATAGGAAAAAGAAAGGGGAAAAGAGAGGGAGAGGAGAGTCACCACCCATGGATCCAGCAGTGACCCTTTGGTCCTTCTTCACCCTTGGCTTCTTGATGGTGGGAATCCTGAGTTGTAGTTCTTGGTGGTGGGGGGCCCAGGTTGCTCATCTCAGGGTACCACTTTTATACAGTCCAAATTCCAGGTATCCATAGAGGCATATTCCTAATGCAAAGTGAGGGAAGGCTTGGGGTTGGGGGTTCAGTGGTTGCAGATACCGCCTGTCCAGGGTGACCTTTGACTGGTGATATGTATTTGCAGTTTGCCACAGTGGGCATTTTTGCTTAGATATGTTAATCAGGATGTGCTAACCAGATCTCACCTCCATCAGGCCTGAAATTAGCACAAACTCATCTCTTTTGCGCTTACCTCAAGTTGTCGCCTCGGTGGCTAACATGTCTTACCTTAGGGTGAATGCCTTTTGTGGCCTTAACAGTGTTTGAGACAGGCAAAGTGTTCTTTAATTCCTTACACCACCCTGTGGCTCAAACACTGTCCTCCAGGGACTTTTTCCTCAGTTCATGGACTGTCCATAGGGGTGGTACATATGTAGTGGATAGTAGGAGAAAAGACAGAAGTAACAGAAGAAATAATACAAGTAATCATGCATCATACAATAGCTGCACTGTGAATGGTAATACAACATTCAGTTTCAGTAAGGTTTAACATTCCACATACCTCTTGTTCCTTTAACAGTAACAGCTGATTTTGTAAGGCCATTTCTGACACTTGTTAGACTTGCAAGTTCAGTTCTCCAAATGCATACCTGGCTCAATTACTGAGGGCATGTACCTGCCATGTAATATTTTCCAGGGCCCGTTGGTGTTACCTGGTAACTATATAAGGTGTAAAAATTATCTTAAACCCCAAAGCTATCTTTTGTCTCATTGTGTAACAATCAGGGCACATATATTTTTGATCCATTCTTGGCTGTGTTCAGGAGAACTTAGTCCCTGCTGCTCCTGTCAATGAATAATGAAAGACATAATTTGGGCAAATAGATGGGAGTACTATCCTGCACCTTAGACCAGTGTGCTAAGTTAAGCTCAACCATGAGGAAGACTTTCCAACAGAACATCCCCAGGCCAGTCCATGTGGTGCAGGATAGCTGCTTGTATTGCAAGTCCAGGTGTCATTATAATCTCTCAAGTATATTTGGGGGGATGGGATCAGAGTATTCTTTAATGGGCAGTGGGTGTGAGGGATTCCACAATACTCTGCCTGTGGGATGTGGGTACAGTATGTCTTGAAATTAGCTATAGCGTCAAGACACAGTGGGTCTTGATTTTGAAATCCCATAGAGGGGTATCCCCAGTAGATAATACATGATATGTGTAAGACACCTATTTTCTGGATTAGCCAAGTCTCAAGGAGATTCCCATGTCCTGTAGTACAATTGATTACCTTTGATTACCGTTGCACGCTGGAACAAGTGTGAATGAGTTTGTTGAGGAGGTGTGTTCACATACTTCAAAGGCTTTAAAACAGGATTTTCTCTTGACCACATCCACAGGTCAATTTATAGGCAATGCTCCTGCCCCGCTGGCTAACTCTGTGCACCGTGAAAAATTAACTTTTAGCACATATAGTGCTTTGTAGTAATCCTGTTGTCTTAAGGGGTGTGAAATGGGATCAAAAGGGAAAGATTGACAAGGTGCCCTAATAGTTAGGAATCTTGGAATCCAATACATGCCTGGTAATAAAGTACCTTCTCTAATCATCACAGGTATGCCAATCTCTCTGAAGTTCGGCAAGACACTGAATCCCGGATGTGATGTGTTCCACGTATCCTGACCCTGAAATCCCTCTGTGTTATTATAACATGCAAAATATGTATCATGAAGTCCTACATGGTACAGGAACCAGGGACATTCCACAACCTCAGGTTTTTCCTCAATTAATAGGTAATGGGTCCTACATTTCAAAGGCAGTTTACCTTTTAACCATCGTGGTGTAGGAATTAAAGCATAAGGCTGTTTCTGAAGTTGGGGTTCACTTGGATTGATCTACAGATCTGCGGGAGTTACAAAAACTCTTAGGCCCTGCTCTACTGACAAATGGAAAGTCACACAAATGCCCTGGTCTGTTTGACTCCAAAGATGTGCAAACCCCAGAATTTGTTCTCATGCAAGGTTTGCAGAATAATGACTTCCATTTGAGGTTGGCTTCCCAGTCTTGGTGGCGGACACACATAGCCACATGTATAAAAAGGACAGCACATGTATATCAAAGCTACAGTTATTTCTACAAATAAAACAGCAAAACATAATGTGGTATAAATCGTGCGAAGGTTTTTCTCTTTTTCTCTTTAGTTCTAGATTTTCATCTGTAAAAGGTCAGAGAAAAAAAACCCCAAAACAACTCTGTTCAGTCTCAAACAGGGTCAAAAGGATGGGATAATCTATTTGGCACTAATTTTGTGTCTTGCCGTAAGTGTCTGTTGCTATTCAAGCATATTTGTTCGATGGTATTTTCAAAACCAGTGTCTTCTGGCCCATGGTGAGGAGTTTCACTAGCACTGGCTGTCCTGGATAGTGTGAGGAAGTTTTGGGATGATCTGGACCTGATGCATTGGGTATTGTTGTGAGGACAGTTAGTCAATGTATATGTACAGCAAATGATGATTGAGTACCTTCTGGGTAATGACACTCCAAACTGCCACCAGCTCCCCAACTCATCCCCTCGACTTCTGAAATGATTCTATCCTCCTTGCCATCCATCTGGAAGGCTACCGCTTTGTATTTCCACATCTTTCCCTCCCTTCTTGCTGATGCATCTGTAAGCAAAACAAAAAGGGAGAATAAGGAGGGGCAGGGTTAATGAGGGAGGAATGAAGTTTAGTAGCCAGAGATTCAAGAAGTGGGTCTTTAGTTTCTAGGAGTTTGGGATCTCCCTCCTCAATCTTTCTGCTCATAGAATGGTACTCAATTTGTGCATATCATTTCCTCATAGTTTCTCACTGAGCAGCCCCTATAGGGGGAGGGTAACACTAAGCACAATCTTTAGTACTCTCAATAGTCCTCTGAGCAGGACAGATTGCTGGTGCAGGATTTTTTCTGCTTCCTGTAATGCAGTGGTGACCACAAACAGCCCCTTTTGCCAATCAGAATACCTTTTCCCAGCATCTTTGAAACTCTTAGAGTAAATTCAGTAGGGTGAGGGGGACCCTTGGGTTCCTTTTGCCACATATGGACTGACAAGGCATGGAAAGCAAAGCCCCATTCCATGAGGAGAGGATCTATTGGATTCAAAGGACCCGAAACTTGATGCTTGCCAGCTTCAAAAATTAATAATTTCAAGGCCTCACTGTGTAATGGAGACCACTCCCAATTTGCCCTTTAATATGTCAGATCACACAAGGGCTGTGCAATAATTGAAAAATCAGGAACATGTTTTCTCCAAAAGACCAATGTTCCCAACACTTGTTGCAATTCTTTTGTGTTCTCTGGTATCTTTACTAGCTCCCATGAGGTTACTGTTTCAGCAGGGATTCAGACAGCACCTCCCGTCCACCAAATAGCCAAAAATTTAACTTGGGGGGGGGCTGCTGTATTTTGTCCTCTGAGATTTGTAAGCCCACACTCTAGGTGCTTAATAATGTGGTTCTGTGTATTTCTTACCCTGTCGGTGTCTAGACCTCTGATTGATACATCATCAATGTATTGATAGATTGATAGGCCCTTACTCCTTCATCCAGTGGGATTGCAGACAGTTCCTGGGCCAGGGAATGTGTCAGTGTGGGAGAGTGGTGATATCCTTGTGGCAACCAAGTAAATATGTATTGTATTCCCTCCCAAACAAAAGCAAAGCATTCTTGGTCATCTTCCTGAAGCGGGACCATAAAGAACACGTCTTTAATGTCAGGGGTAGCTAAAATTGGGTGAGCTTGTTCCAGTATTATGACAATCGATTCAGCTATGTTAGGTACTTGTGCTGTCAAATGTGCTGTATTGGCATTTAATTTCCTGCAATCCACGGACAGTTGCCATGTCCCATTTGGTTTTTTCACTGGCCATGTAGGAGAGTTGTAAGGGGAATGAGTGGGAACAATTATCCCATCCCCCCTTAAGTCTGATATCACAGGGGAAACCCCTTCTCTGGACCGCAAAGGTGAAGGATATGGTTTTACAATAGTTACCTGTGAAGGAGGCAGAGTGGGGCAGCTTGCAGCAAGCAAAATGATGAAAAATCTGAGCCCATTGCCTGCCCTTGTCATCAGTCCAGGACTTGCCCTTTAAGATGTCTAAGCTAAGCAAATTTATAGGGAAAGGACCAATGATCATTAATGTTTCAGTGGCACTGACTTCTGGTAGCCAACACTTTACTTTGGTGGCTAGTTGTGGCTGCACTTTACCAAATGCATCTGTCACTATGAGTCCTTTCATATCAGGCACAATGTCACACTGTATAGGCATCACTGGTTTGCAAAGCTGATATTTGTG